AGTGTACGTGGATCGGTTTTATCTTGATAAAACCGTGGGATCTGTATTCAAACCCCAAAACGTGGCGGATGGCCTGGAATGTTGCCTTGGGCACGGATCCTGCATGGGTGCTCACCTCAGCACTTTGTGGAGCACATGTAGTCAGGTGCAGGGTGCTTCTACATGGTCCATCCCTATGGAACCCAGTCTCTGAAGGCCCCTATTAAGGGGTATACCCATCATGATGGGCAAAGCCTGAACCCTATGTAGGGGACCAGCGTCATTGGCAAGTAAGACGGGGTTGACCTGTCGCGGATCGGTGCTATCTTGATAAAACCGTGGGATCTGTATTCAAACCCCAAAATGTGACGGACGGCCTGGAATGTTGCTTTGGGCACGGAATCTGCATGGGTGCTCACCTCAGCACTTTGTGGAGCACATGTAGTCAGGTGCAGGGTGCTTCTACATGGTCCATCCCTATGGAACCCAGCCTCTGAAGGCCCCTATTAAGGGTATGCTCATCATGATGGGCAAAGCCTGAACCCTATATAGGTACCCGCGTCACTGGAAAGTACGACGGGGTTGACCTGTATCTCTGACTGTTACTGTAAAGGAACGGGACTATGTTTGAAATGTATTACACGGTGTAAACTTTTAAAACCTGGTGCTAGAACTCAACCACTCAGGGGTTAGACTCTGGTAGAGGACTAGGTGTTGCATCATACCTCTAGGCACACATAAAACCGCTACTTACACCTAGACCTTTGGTGGGCAACTGCGGCCCTCCAGCTGTCATGGAACTATATGTCCCATGATGCATTGAAAGGCTGACAGTTGCATCATGACTCACAGAGGCATGATGGGACTTGTAATTCCACAACAGCTGGAGGGCCACAGTTTGCCCACCCCTGGCCTAGACCCATTATAAGATACTTGATGCATCTTTTCACCACAAGGACTTTGCTACAGGTCTACACCTGAGTTGCTTCGTTTTCCTTCCACACACACTTACCCTACTATCTGCAACCTACCCCGTGAGTATCCCATTGAGGATCACCCTCACCCATTGCTATGATAGAAAGCAGGCAATAGGAAGCCACAGCAAAAGCTCAGGTGAACATTCACTCTGCTGAAATCCTGCAGAACACTCAGCCTCAGCGTGATAATGCTTCCCTTGCACTGGAGCAGGACCCTATTTTTTTTTTACAGCGGTCTCCGACTCCATTTGAGGCATGTAACAAGCGGCCTACATGACAACGGCAGAGCTTTCTGCAACTGTGTCACAATTTCTTGGACAACGGCTTTAATGCAACCATCTCTAAGGCTCCAAAATAGCAGGCCCCTTTTCATGCTCCACCATCTTTACCTGAGTTGGATCCTGATATGCCCACCCTAGAGGAGGTGGACATAGAAGAGACCTCGTGGCAATGTTGGAGGAGGCTTTGGAATATTTCTCGTCCCCAAACTCCTGTACACCTGAAATTGCAACTTCACCAAATATGCTTGCAGATGTGGACACGCTCACTTCCACTGTGCTCAAAGGCTTCGGCATTGTCCCACTTGATTCTCCTCCAGCTGACCATGCTCCTTTGTGTACAAAGAGACCTGCTAAATCTGTTTGTCAAACCGCTAGCTGGATTAGGGCAATTAACGGCCAACACGATCCTTTATCCCAGGACTGTGCCTTCACTGAGCAATTGCAGCAATTTCCTGCCTGGCCTTTTTTGTGTGAATGTTCTAGAACAAGCAATGAAACGTGTTTCCAAAATGGTTCTAATCTCCATTCATGCGTAGAATCTTGTGGCTCAAAGCTGAAGCTGCCTGTAAGACGCCTCACAAGTATGCCCTTCAAGGAGGATGTCTCTTTTGTTGGACCTTGACAAATTTATCAAATTTGTCAAAGGAGGGAAGGTTCTAAATCCGTAGCAGAAAATTCCAAAAACCAACCTTCTTTGGAGCCTCTTTTTCGCCAAAACACAGCACCTAATCTCTATCCAGACTTCATTTTCAAAGCCTATGTTTTTTTAGCCCCTTTTTTTGCGGCGGCTTGACGGAACAGTTTTGTTGCCTAGTTTTTTCTCTCCCTTCTCATTCATTGCTTGGGGATGTCCCATGGTCTCTGAATATGCAGCCTGTGTCCTATATTGTACGATTTAAGATAAGAGCAATTTTGATTTACCTGTAAATTCCATATCTTGGTGTTCATTCAAAAGGCTACAGTGGCCTCGCTATGGGGGTCCAGGGGGTACCAGAGGGGTGACACCATCATAAGCTTTGCTGATGACATCACTTCTGGTGCTATACAAAAACCGCATCCTGGGCATGTCTGAAAGAATGCCGGGATGCTGCATTTGGCATAGCACCGGTGGCACCTGCAGGGACTCGAGCAAGTAAGTGCCACCCACTGGGACATGATGCTCAGTGGGGAAGAATAGATTAGCAGAAGCATGGCCTGTGGTGGAGAGAACCTGGGACAGGCTGAGGTGCGACTCTGCTGAAGTAGAGTGCTGGATTGCTGTTGCTTGGGGCCCGAGATGGAGGGAGTGGAGGGTAGACTCAGGCACTGGCTGTTTGCAGTAGAGACCATGCTGCCCTGAATTTTTCCTATGATTCGCAGAACCCAGCTCCTCACTGCACCCCTGCCAACTCCCGATCCCTGGTCACCCTATGACACTGCTCCATGGGGCTCATCATGCGGGGGGTGCTGGGAACTGCAATCACCAAGTAACTACACACCTCCTGGTTCACCTGTGCTTCCCATCCCCACCTCACCTTTTGCTTTTTAACCCTGTCTGCTGAAATGCCATCATCACCCCCCACACTTGGGGTTTCTAAGTGGGTTCTTTCCTTTTAGGGTGTCACCCTTCCTTTAAAATCTTTGCCTCCTCTCCTCTCCCTTACCGTTCCAGTCGCCTCCATTCCTAGGAAAGGTGATGGTGAAAGCTCTGACATACACCTGTCAGTGGCAGCAATGTGCTTGGCCAGAATCTGTCTCCCATGGTTAAAAAAAAGTATTTGGGGTGTGACACCATGTTGCCACTGACAGGCGACACCCTCCCTTCTATTCCTTGGTCACCCTGCATTGCTTGCTACCAAACTAAGGACTTCTGAAGTAGTGTAGGGTTTTAGGGAAGGTGCCCAGGTGGCGTGTCTTAGAAAGCTTTGACAGTGTCCAATCACCTGGAGGTATAAACCTATAACCCAGGGTCTATACCATGTTCTGTGCTGTACTCCAAGATAAGAATGTACAGGTAAGTCAAAATTTCTTTTTCCCTGATAAATGATAACCAATAGGTTCTCTTTAAAAGACCCTATTATGTATTCGGTTGGACGGACTGACTGGCTCCTGAATTTCTCTTTTATATGTTCAGACACGCTTCGCTGTATGTTGGTATTGGACGGTGTTCTTGTTATGTAGGCCGTAACCCTGACTCATCTGTAGCGGTCCAAACTGGAGGTCACTTTTTAGTCTTGTGTCGGAATAGTTGGCTTCGTGCCAGTCCATTAATGGAGATCTGGAGCTCGTTGTACACATGTTGGCGGATCTCTGGCAGAAGATGACAGCGAGAGGTTTTCAGAGGCACATGATGGAAAATGTTTCTTCTGGAATCTGACGTATGGACAGGATCAGCCTTTGTGGACATAACTTTTACTATCCTTTGTATACCATGGAGAGCTATTTGTTGACCTAAATCTGTCCTAAATATGGGCAATTCAGACTGAATGTATAATAAGAAAACAACAAAACAAAAACAGATGGCAATCAAGACAAAGTGTATTTCATCGAAGAAAAAAATCCATGGTTTACTATGAAGAGGTGTACAGGAAATGCATAATGTTTTTATACAGTTTATGGAGCAGCTATATGAAGATTTAGGGTGGGGCAAATTTATTTTTAAAATGTCAGGTGGTAAAAAAGAAATTGGCAAAATCTTAAATATAGATTGTTGAGGTTTCTTTAACCTTATTAACTGTTCCTGATGAAGTCATTCTGACGAAACGCGTTGGGTGGGGCCTGATTTCATGACGTTGCCATGCATGTGAGGCCGCTTGCACTCACGGACATGACTTTCAGTGCGGAACTCAGATTCTTTGGATGACTTGTTAGCGGTTTGATACCCAGTGTAGGTTATAGCACAACATCATGTGAGCATGTTTTTAAGGTTTTATGATCAGTTTGTTTTAAGAAGGAGCTGTGTTCAATGATTGTGTTGCCTTGTCCCCTTTGTGATATGGGACTATATACTAAATTCAATAAGTTGGTCAAAACTCAGATTTTGCTTCTCCTCCACACACTGATCTTCATTTGGGTGGTTTATCCCAAGTGAAGATCAGTGTGTGGAGGAGAAACAAAATCAGGAGTTTTGACCAACTTCTTGAATTTCAGAGGTCAACACCATAAAAGTGGTGAGATTACCATAGGGACATTTTTTGTTAACTTTTTATCACCTGGGACGGCTGGTCCCAGGTGATAAAGCCGGTCCATAGGAGACAAGCTGGTCCATATGAGACTGGCTCGCACTTTGCTTTTGGACCCCAGACTTTGTTCTGTTTTATCTTTTCCAATTTTATTGGTATTCTTAAGGCTCGATTCATACTTTGTGTAGCCGGAATGGGGAGATTTACCACACTTTTCCATGTGTTGCCCATAGGATTAAACCTTACTGCTTTTTGTTTCTAAATCCTTTCCATTAGTGTCTAATGGTGTGGACTTGTTGGTGGTTTTCACGGGAAACTGGGAAATGTATTCAGGCTTCTGAAATGTACTAAAGGCCTTGCCGAAGGTTACAGGACAGTAGAGTAGGTAGCGGTCTTCATATGCAATCAACAAACACAACTTCATGTTCATATGTATTGGCAAACAATAGAAACAAGGTTTTAGAACCAGAGATTGTACATTAATCTGATCAATTGCACATGTAAAATATTGCTGTACGGTTGGATGGTGAAGAAGCAGGCCAGCCGCAGCAAGCCACGAAGGCGAGGAATTCTATAACTGGTTTCTTCTTGTGGTCTTACAGGTCGGCTTTCTGAAGATTTTGCACAAGTATGAAATCACCTTCACTTTGCCTTTAAATCAAAAGCTGGGGAAGAGCATTTGTGCGGTACCACTACCGAACCTGAACCTCAAAGTGACCAACATCACCCGCGTTGCCGGAAGGTGAGACCCAATTGTTCCTCTTCAGCATGGCCTTGGAGGGTGTTTACCCAAAGGGGCTCCAATATTCCTATGTGTTATTGCTTTGGGAGGGGTGGAGGTTGAACATCTGCTGTGATATTAGGCTGCTTTTTTTCCAGTCTATGTAGTAAATTAATGTGACCAACTGTGGCTGTTCAACGTGGCCTGGGGGAGGGGGCTTTCAATGAAAGGGGTTCCAATATTCTTATATATTCTTATATATGTGTCATTGGTTTTGGAGGGAGGTGGCGGTTGAGATTCAGTGATGGTAGAAGACCGCTCCAGTTGAATGTGGCCAAGCACTGTTCAGTTATTACCGGTGTATGTTTAGCACTTGCCAGTTAGTCTGTTGTGTATTGGCCTTGACATAGGATGTCTGTATATATGGATTTCTTGTAGAGTGGTAGGATGTTGGAGGTTGTCCATCTTCAACAATTAGAGGCCACTTCTTCTCCGGTCTATGCAGTAAATTAATCTGACCAACTGTTCTTCAATGTGGCTTTTGAAGGCTTTCAGTTAAAGGGGCCCCAGTATTGTTATGTATGGGTCATTGGTTATGGAAGGGGGTGTAGGTTGAGCATCTGCCATGACCAGGAGCCACCCTTTCTCCAGTCTATGTAGTAAATTAATGTGACCATCTGGCTCTTCAACACGGCTTTGGGAGCTTTCACTGAAAGGGGCCTCAATATTCCTATGTATGTGTCATCGGTTTAGGAGGGAGGTGGTGGTAGAGCTTCAATGATGGAAGACCTCTCCAGCTGAATGTGGCCAAGCACTGTTCAATTTTTATTGATGTATGTCTAACTCCTGCCAGTTAGTCTGCTGTTTATTAGCCCTGATATGGGATGTCTGTATTGACTGACTTCTTGTAGGGTGGCAGGACGTTGGACCGGGCACTATCATTAGTTGGGTATAAGAGGGCTGGACAGCTTGTAACATCCGTTTCCCTCCCAAATGGCCTTTCAGGGCAGCTTATGAGAGCTAGGTACTTCCTCCAACAGGAACTACCAAATCCCTTTGTTTTTTCAGCTGGTTTTTCCAACTGAAAAGTTGGTTCTCTTTTTTTTTTATTATTTTCAGAGTAGGTTGGCCCTTTTTTCCCCTAGAATACTTTTTTTTTTTTTTTTTTTTTTTTTTTTTTTAGTATTTTTTGTATTTTTTTTTTTCTTTTTCTTTTATCCCCCCTCCCCCCCCTTTTTTTTTTTTTTTTTTCCTTTGTTTGTTTTTTTAAATTATTATTTTCATGTTTGGGTTTCTAATACCACTGTTTGAGTTGTATGGCTACATTGTCTTTCCTCTTCCGATTTGCAGTTTTTTAGACAGGATTTATTACTTTGCTTTAACTAGTCTAAATAAATGATTTTAGTGGGTAGGTTATTTTATTCATATGATATATTTGACAATGAAAGTTGTGAGATGATTAATGATTGTATCCATATCCTGGCTCTGCACCAATACTCCACCTTTGACTAGGCCTCTGTTGGGGTGAAATGTGGTGGTGAATGACGTGCTTCATTTTGGCTTCGTGAACTTGTTCACATTGCAGTAAAGCTGTTTAGATAAAAAAAAAAAGGTTGGGTGTTTGGTTTTTTTTTTTATTCTAGGGAAGGTTGGCCAATCCTGTTACCTCATTTTTATTGGAAAGAAAAGCGAAGAAAGTGTTAAATCTTTGAGCATTATCTCATTGTAATTCCTCCTCCTGCTTCTCCCGGACCTTTGCTTTAATGGTTCCCAATGGGACATTGACACGGAGGTCCAATGTATCACACTGTATATAGAACATCTGTCTCCTGACAGTGCAGGAACGCTGTTGTATGGTACATTGACTTCACATTGTCTGCCAATACTTCCCCAGAGCCGCCTTCTGCTACTCTGACCGTTCTCTCTGCCTCCGCCGTACCATCGAAGCGATTACTGTCACCAGGGTCACCTCATCTCTGTAGAGCTAATACAGAATTGGAGGGGGATTCCTCCAGGGTGAGGGGTTTATACAGCGGACGAAGAGAAACATTGGGGTAGGTTTACGAAAACTGTAGAGTGCAAAATTTTGCGCAGCTGTGCATGATAGCCAATCGGCTTCTGACTTCAGCTTGTTCAATTAAGCATTGATGATAAAACCTGGAAGCTGGTTGGTTTCTATGCGGAGTTGCACCAGATTTTGCACTCTCTGGTTTTAGTAAGTCAACCTCATTGTGTCATACTTGGGGGACAATGCTCAAGATGGTTTCTGTCCATAAAGCACAACTTCTGAGACCCCTCAGCTTTTAGAAGTGATCTGGTAATTTGGCCTGTTAATCAACATTGCTCAGTCTTTGAGAACCTGCGCTTCATGCCGATATGCCTTGCATAGCTACCGTTCCTTTGCTCACCTGCGGCTCCAGTTGCCATTTTTATATTTGTTGGAGCTTGCACAAGATTGCAGATTCCCCCCACCCCATGTGATAATGCTGGGCCGATCACAAAGCACCAGTGCTGTTACATGGGAGGCAAGGTATTGGGTCATGTTACTCCATACTTGGAGGTACCAGATGATTCTTTTTACTCCCAGCAGTGAACAGATTGTTGGGGAAGGAAATGGAAGGAAATAACGCTGGTGGCCAGACCATAAAGTGGACCTGTTGCTTTTTCCTTGCATGGTCATGTTGCCTTGTTACACCGGCCCCCTCTCTTCTGTACAGTGAAGGAAATAAGTATTCGATCCCCTGATGATTTTGAATGTTTGCCCACTCACAAAGAAATGATCGGTCTAAAAATCGAATGGTAGGTGTATTGTAACACTGAGAGACAGAATAGCAACAGGAGTGGGTCAAGAAGAAGCACATTAAGGTCCTGGAGTGGCCTAGCCAGTCTCCAGACCTTAATTCGATTGAAAATCTGTGGAGGGAGCTGAAAGTTCGAGTTGCCAAAGTCAGCCACCACCAAACCTTAATGACTTGGAGAGGATCTGCCAAGAGGAGTGGGCCAAAATCCCTCCTGAGATGTGTGCAAACCTGGTGGCCAACTACAGGAAACATCTGACCTCTGTGATTGCCAACAAGGGATTTGCCACCAAGTACTAAGTCATGTTTTGTGAAGGGGATCAAATACTTATTTCCCTCATGAACATGCAGATCAGTCATCATTTGTTAGACGCATTTCTGCTGAATTTGTTGTTGTAACACTGAGAGACAGAATAGCAACAACAAATTCAGCAGAAATGCATGTCTAACAAATGATGACTGATCTGCATGTTCATGAGGGAAATAAGTATTTGATCCCCTTCACAAAACATGACTTAGTATTTGGTGGCAAATCCCTTGTTGGCAATCACAGAGGTCAGACGTTTCCTGGAGTTGGCCCCCAGGTTTGCACACATCTCAGGAGGGATTTTGGCCCACTCCTCTTGGCAGATCCTCTCCAAGTCATGAAGGTTTGGTGGCTGACATTTGGCAACTCAAACTTTCAGCTCCCTCCACAGATTTTCAATCGAATTAAGGTCTGGAGACTGGCTAGGCCACACCAGGACCTTAATGTGCTTCTTCTTGACCCACTCCTGTTGCTATTCTTTCTCTGTGTTACAATACACCGAACATTCGATTTTTAGACCGATCATTTCTTTGTGAGTGGGCAAACATTCAACATCGGCAGGGGATCAAATACTTATTTCCTTCGCTGTACTTTGATTCTCTGAACTGCAGCCAGCATTCAGATTAGGAAAGTAACTGACCTCTCAACTCCTGATCGCCATGCTTGATCAGGTCTTGTGACCAAAAAGGATCAACACGGCGGCCAAGAAACCATCATTGTTGGGCCACGTCTGTGGTGGTGGCCATTTCTTAGCACCGTAAGATACCAGCTTGCTGCATCTTTCTCCAGTAGAGCGGACCTTATTGCTCACCCTCCTTTTTACTATTTTCCATTAGCTAGCGAGGCCACCCATCTCAAGGTTTGGCAGCATGAGACTGGAGCGGACAGCGACCAAGAAGCCTGATCATAATGGCATTATTGGGGGCACTGGGGGTCCTGTATAAGGGAGAAGCTCTGGGAACTGGAGGCAACTGCTATCAAGTACAATGCCTACACTGGTGCAAATCTGCTTCTACTGTTGGGGCCACCTCCACATGTACCTGGAAGGAAAACCTTTAGGAAATTATACTTACCTACTTAGTTTTTTGGTTTACATACTCTTTAAGCTGAACCCTTACCAGTAGCCAACCCCTAATATACAGCTCTCTGACTAACACTTAACCTAACCTCCTATAACCACCCCTCTGTATTTTACCCCCGTATTCGTAGTGCTACTTTACCCCTTTTTGGTGCAAACGTGCCTTATTGACTCCAGAGCTGCCATCGGAGAAAGCTCTCAGACTCGTGCCGGTATGATATGGAGCTGGAATCCTCTGATCTGCAGAATGGGAGGGGGATGGGGGACTCCAGATGGTACCGTCTGATGGCAGGAAGGACACAGAACAGAGGTAAAGGGTACTTAAGGTAATGAGATCTCCGTGTACATCAGACATGAATCAATTTCTGTACAGGTGGGGGGGTTCTGTATTGGAAAGTGACCAGTTTAATGACATCTGGCCCTTCTCTCTGGCCATGTGGGACAGACCTGACCTGTGTAGTGGATGATGGTGATTGGGCTTTACTGTTCCCTCACTGCAGGTCTGTTGCAGTATAAGTCATGACAAATATTGTGGCGAGTACTGTCCTGGCTCTCTAGAGGGAGATAATACAATTATCTGGCAATATGGGACAGCAAGCACAGATATAAAGTGCCTTAAAGTATTCATACCCCTTGAAATTTTCCACGTTGTTGTCAGGTTACAATGTATTTATTGGGATTGGATGTGATGGACCGACACAAAGTGGCACATAATTGTGAAGTGGAAGGAAAATGAGAAATGGTTTTTAAAATATTTTACAAATAAATCTGTGATAAGTGTGGCAGCATTTGTATTCGGCCCCCCGAGTCAGTACTTTGTAGGACCCCCTTTGGCTGC